CTGGGCCACTATCTGAACTCATCTAAAATACATTTCAAAATTAGCATCGTTAGGAACGAAAAAGGTCTTATAGGAGTCATCACCCCCCCCCCCCCCTCGTTGTATAATAGTTTGCGTGAAATGTTTGAAAACCTATTGCAGTTTTTTAGAAGGGTCATTCGATGAAAGTAATCATAAACTTATGCAAACATATGTACTCTAAGGCGGATCTGACATTCTGTACTATTAATTTATAGAATTCGTAACATAGACATCTTTAACATCTACAAGTTCCGCCTCCAACTCTCACCAACATCTAGCATTTAGTGAGGATTATCGCATAGTGCATTATATTCGGTCAATCGCTGCCTCTTGCCTTAGTTTATCTGAATCACCACATGCGCAGAATGCAGTGAAAGCAATTAGCTGGCAAGGGTATAAGTGAACAAGACTATTTTCTCAAAATAAGTTCAGTCTTTTTATTATCTGGAGACTTTATCGTCTTGAATATCAGCTGAAAATGGCCCTATAAGAGGAGAAGCACTGATTAATGACTTGTAAAGAAATACTTTTACGTTTTGCTTTATGAAGTTGTCTTCTTGCAACAAAAAAAAATTCTAAAGTTGAGGAGGTATTTTTTTTCTCACGCGGATTATCTACGAAACACGGTACATCAGTTAGCTCTAATGAAGAGGACATAAACAAGATAATTCTAGGCTGTTAGTCTAGGTCGTCCATTACGACGCTTCAAACTGAACGCTTGTGTAAATAATGTGAGTCTATGTAAGCCATCCAATCACAAAATCTACTTATCTATTCGATCACTTATTTGGTGCGTTATTAATGTTCATAATGAGCAACGAATGCTGAAATAAAATTCCGAAGAAAGCAAAAAAGCAGTCAGATCCACTGTTTCGTCATAATAACTAGCCTAGCATTGCGTTATACCATATTAACAGGCTGAAAAGTATAGTTCTGCTGCTGTTGAGAGTATTCGACTTACGTTTCAAGTGGACTGGTAAGTGTACTAATCAACTGCATACACACGTTTTGAAACCTGGCCTATGATGTTAGGAATTTCCATCTTCAGATAAAGAAGTTGAGGTCAGGGAGTACAGATATTGATGATGATTGCAGCGATAATTCTGGACCACGAAATTTGCTCTTGGTAGAGTCTTTTCCGGTTTAGCACTGATAGGGCTTTTCATTAGACAAGATAACTTGAGATAGCATTACAGTACCACCATATCTTATCTATGATCATTTTTGTTATATTAGGTAGTTCCGAAAGTAATGTCTCTTTTCTTCGAGTGAACGCCACATTTAGTGGAATCAAGATTCGAGTAATCTTGAGAGCCTTCGATGCAGTATTTCATCGACTTTTTAGGTCTTAAATTCTTTGCTTGATATCCAATGATCTCTTGAAAGATTACTAAAATCTGTGCAACTTACGCTTTTTGAGATGGTCAAGTTCCACAATTTTTCTGGATTTTTGTAATAACCCTAGGAAAGAGTACAAGTGATATATGGGTACGTACTTGCCATGATTTTTTTTCGAAGGTTCCTCAGAACCATATGATTTTGGAAGGCCTACGCGTCAGCCACAAAATCATCAAACACCAATAATTCTTCGGAATTTCAAAACAGTAATGTTATGATTTAACCACTAATTTTACAAAGCAGATGAGAGTTTACGGATTTGAATTATCACTCGAGTTTTCAGGTACAGTCCGGGTTGCGTCTGAAAACATGAATTATGATGATTTTATGGCCGAAGACTCCACTCGGAAACAAAAAACCCCTTAGAAAGGGGAGGAAAAGCTGCATAGAGTGACTCACGAACTGCACCCCGTTTGATTTTCTGCGAGGTTCAGGTTGAGCAAGCATGGAAACTGGTAGCATCGGTTGAAATTCCATTAAAAATTATGTTGTGCTATAGAGAGTTAAAAAAATTGTATTGTTTCATGTAAGGTTTGATCTATCCATTCAATACTTGGACTCCTTTTAAGGGTTATTACATAAACTTAGAAAAATTGTGTGACTTGACCATCTCAAAAAGCATAAGTTGCAGATCTTAGTAATTTTTCATGAGCACACTGAATATCACGCGTTGAAATTATAACCATAAAGAGGATAATGCTGCACCGAATGCTCACAAAATGTCTTACAAGGAGAGGATACTTAGTCGAAAGCACCATTCCAGATGAGACATATATCATCTTGAAGCGCTTGAAACGCTGACTCCAAATCTGCAGTTTCTAGCTGCGGAGCGGTTTTGTAGAAGGAGTTATGAAGGGTGTTCCACTCTGGAGTTTAGGCGCCCTACAGCGGTCTCCCCTTATCTATAGAGGAGTAGAGCACTGTAGAGGAGTATCAGGTGGCGACAACTGGCCTAATGATAAGTAACTTGTATGAAGATTACAGTAAAGATTATAATACTCATATTACTTTGGTTTTTTTAATTCTTCTAATTTCGATTAGTATCAATATCATCAGAAGTTTCATGCTTTAGGGCTCTAAAGCCATTTAGAAGTTCAATTTAGCATGCGAAGGGAATTAACTTTGACACTCTCTTCATCAAGCACGTCACTTATCACTAGGTCAGTTGCCACCAGTTGGTAACTCCTCTACAGTGCTCATAGGTAGGGGGAGACCTGGTGGAGGGCGCCTCAACCCCAGAGGAAACACCCCTCATAACTCCCTCTACAGAACCGCTCCGCAGCTAGAAACTGCAGATTTGGGATCAGCATTTCAAGCGCTATAAGATGACATATGTCTCATCTGGATTGGTGCTTTCGACTAAGTATCCTCTCCTTGTTAGAAAAGGTTCTACGGAATGTAGCGTTTACCTGAAGAAAGCGACATTACTTTTAAAACGACCTAATATCAGGTTGTCCGGAAATTAATGCAGGTTTTAAATTTCAACCGCAATAAGTCATATACTTCTCATTTCTAAATAGGTTGCAAGGTACTATTCGATAGAGCAAAGCAAGCTCTACAAGGGGCGATCTTGATTTAGCAACAGCTCTGATCCATCACGAGTTTTGAGCCAAAAACTAAAAAGATTCAATTGCCCGAAAAATTGAGAAAAATCGTAACTTAGTTCATAAAAATCCTACAAAAATTCTAACTTGCTCACGTAAACATAATCCACTTAGGACCTCTATATACGCCGTTGCCGTATTTCTTCCTCTGAAAACGGAAATTTTTGTGCATTTGCCAAAGTGGTGCTGTGCCGTTCTCACATAAGTGGTTGTATACCACAAACCTGTAGAAGTACAAACGTAAATTTCCAGCTTTCTACAAGCTTTAGTCTCGAGAAGTATCGAATACAGTTTTCCCTAGTCATGTGGTCCAAGCTAAAATTCAAATTTTTTGAAAATCAAAGCTTGTAGGGAACTGGAAATTTACGTTTGTACTACTACAAGTTTGTAGTGTACAACTACTTATGTGAGAACGGCACATCACCACTTTGGCAAATGCACGAAAATTCCCGTTTTCTTGTTTCTAACAGAAAAAAATACGGCAACGGCGTATATAGATGCCCTATGTGGATTGTGTTTACGTGAGCAAGTTAGAATTTTTATAGGATTTTTATGGTCTAAGTTACGATTTTTTTCAATTTTTCGGGCAGTTAAATCTTTTTATTGGCTCGAAACTCGTGATGGGTCAGAGCTGTTGCTAAATCAAATAGCCATCTTGTAGAGGTTGCTTTGTTCTATCAAATGGTGTTTTGCAACCTACTTAGAAATGAGAAATGTGTGACTTACTGCGGTTGGAATTCAAAACCTGCATTAGTTTTCGGACAACCTAATACTTTGCTTAATCACTAGCTTAGATAATGTAATTCACACAATTAATGATTCAGTGCGTTCTACTATTCTAAGTATTAGTAATACATAGACTGATAGGAAATTTTGCAAGTATGACTAAAGCGAAGCAAAATTACCAAAGGGTGCAGTGTCAAAACATGAGTATATTCTCTTGCAAAAGCATGTAGCCCTAAACCGAAGATGCCCCAAAAATTTTTCTTCGCATTATAAATTCATAAGCATTATGAATTTATAAATTTTCAAAAGCATTATAAATTCATATAAACTTATATATAAAGCTGAATGTGTGCTTGTCTGTCTGTATTTCTGTGTGTACGTATGTTCCGAATAGAAAATTCCATTTCTGAACCGATCCGGACCAGACTTGGCACACATACACTTCGGGCCCCGGCGGGTGTCGTAGGCTACTTTTCGTTATCGATCAATATCGATTTTATCGATTTTTATCAATTTATCGCAAAGTTAGACTTACGGGGCTGGGAGTTGGCACAGGGGGGTAATCGAGCATGCTGATTACGAATACAATATTAGTTTTTGGAATTATCCGCTGCTTTTATCGATTCTATCGATTTTTTTGCAAAGTTTGAGCTACGGGGCTGGGAGTTGGCACAGCGGGATAATCGAGCATGTTGGTTACTAACGCAGCGGGAATAGGCAATTGGCATGTAGAAATGGGCACAGGTGAAGGTTGTACATGGATAGGGATGGAACCTTTGTCATAGTGTTTTGAAAGGCCGGGCGGAGCCGGGAAAGCCAGCTGGTTTATTTATAAAATCACTTGAATCACTCACAAATGTAATTAAGTTATTTACTCAATCATATAGCTCATCTAAATCACTTTTGAAATTAGCCGTTCACGTCCTTGCCACCAATGAAATTTAGCTATATTTTTGAATTCATAATTCGTATAGCACGCTTGAATATTGTCTGTAACGAACTACTTCATCAGAGCAATGCATCTTTTCTGGCCCTTCTTTGTCACAGAGTTACACAACAAAATTTGCATCGCTGAGCAGCCCTTGTGAAGTTTTTTGTGCTAGTAATAAATGGCGTAACTATGCTCATGAGGTATCACACCTTCCCGAAACAACGTTGCATTTCTGCCGATACGCTTCTCGGTCATAAAACGCCATTTATTACCATCAGAGATAAAACATCAGGCGCGCCTCCCTTTGCACATCCCAGGCTATGCTCGCTTTTGCACTTTATGCCTTAATAGGTATGTATTAATACTTATATACACTATATAGTAAGGAAATCAGTAGTGAACCAAACATGTTGAATTTGAGTTGATAAATAGTTAAAAATGGAATCTTTTGATAGGCTCTCAAGCGAATAAATTATCTACAAACTCGAATATAAGAGTGGTTTTTCTCGGCTTACATTCTAGAATCTTTGATTTTGCGAAAACTTGCAATAAGATAATTCTCATTAAGTTCGAGCTTCATGAATATTTTTAGGAGTGGCATTTGCTCAGACTCGGGCATTCAGCTCATGTGATCCAGCACAGCTGCAGAGGTGTCAAGCCGCTTTCAACGATGAACTAAAGATAGATCGTAAGTTAACTGGCCATCTATTTCTCAATCGAAATATCTATGTTTGAATTGTCAAGCTGAGCGGTAGCAGATTTTTTCATTTTATACGCTAGTAAAAAGATTAGCAGCATGAGTAAAATCTATGTAAAATTAAGCTGTCCGAAAAAATATTTTACCAACGAAATAGCTTCGCCATAAATCTAAAACATTTTTATTATTCACTACATTCAAGAAACTTTTTCTTAACAGATATAGAGCTAATGAATTAGCTTTGCAACGGTCTATTCCAGCATCTCTCGGAGTGACATCGTATCAAGCTTTAAGAGCTGCTATTGAGAATAAAATTGGTGTGGATAAAGCTCTCGGCTTGGCGAACACATGCATGGCATTCAAATACTACAAAACATGTTTTAAGTAAGCACAGTGTTAAGTATTTTTGACCTATCTTCATTTAATCGCTTCTAACTTCAGCAATCGCAATGATTACGCCAACTGCGCCAACAATCCCTTGGGCCTCATCGTCGATCAGAACGGGTAGGATTTTCATTTCTCAAACTTTCTATGACGGATTCATCATCTCCTATTTTGCTAATTGTTGGAGCTGCACAAGCATCCAACACTTGTCAAAGATTTTTAGAATGAACATAAAGCACGGAAAATAGATCAATAAAGTGAGGGAATTGAATTGCTCTCTAAATATTCCATTGTAAGAAAGCTACCTCGATTCATTGAGATTATCCACCCACAATCCAAATAAACATTTGTTACAACCGAAAAAAATGTCCCATTTGTTTTGGATTATGTTTTTTTCACTGAGCACTGGATGAGAAAGAATAAACAAAAGGAGAGCGGAAACTTAGTTAAAATACTTTTGAAAATCTTCTGTAAATTCTAGCACGGCGACTGGAATCACCGAGGACCAAGCTTTCGGATACACTAAGATATTCAATCAGTTCGATTTCTCGTGTGGAGCCGGATTCTCTGGTAGAACAGTTTTGCGGCCAAGGCATGAGACTTACCGTAATATTGCAGAATTTACTAATAATGACGAATGCGCTTCGACTGTATTCCTTACCGGCGTAAACGAGATGAGGGCATGCGACAGCAATTTTCAATCATCTCTCAAACGGGACAACGATCCAAGCAACACTTGCGCGTAAGTTGATGAAGTAATATTTTGAGAATTTTTCAAGGCTAATTTTGTGATATTCAGATATGTCGAAGTGGCCAAGGAATGCTACATGACAGCATTTGGAAAACGGTGTGCCAAATATCCGGAGGTTATTTGGTGGGGATGTAACTATGAACGGATTGGCACTCAAACTAACTATCCACAGTGTACCCAGATTTTCTGCACTTGTAAGTTTTTGCAGAATATAAACAATGTACCCTATACGGTATATGTACTGTATGGGTACTGTATGAATAACCCCGGGTAGATCCAAGGGCGATTTCCTTATAATGTTTCCTACATCTCCGCAAAAAACGTGTACTAAAAAAACTTATGAGAAAACTTTTCCATTTTTCTGCTCTTGCAAGCATTGAAGTTTTTTAGACCACTGTTATCAGGACTTCATAGAAAGCAGCAGACCCAGACCTAGCATTATCATGTCTCATTTAACAATTTCAGATAACGAATAATGGACTGAACTTCGAAGATCAGTGGCTTGGATGCAACGAATTACCTACGAACAATTTTTTTTGTTGACTAAATATTTTTATTCCGAGGTGTTGTATTGACAATGTTACTTCTAAAAGAAAGGCATATAGCAGGATGTGATGAAATACTGAATAAATGACAAAGTGATGAAAAGGCAAGACTAAATGGACGTATTACATGAAGAAAAACAAGATATTGTACGTTAACATCGTCAACTTCGCAGAATCTTGCTGTTTGTGGGTTATCAAATATCTGATGCAAATCTTACTCCGCTAATAGAAGTCATTTTCAAACAAATTCTCGCAACCTACCAGCTCAATCAAGTGATTCAGCCTACATAGCGAAGACTACTGAGAATTGTTCAACTTCAGATCCTATAAACCCATGGAGAGTTATCTGGCACTGAAAGAGGTTGTGCATCTGTAGCACTTCGTTTATATATGATCTATCAAAATTATCAACAAAACCTGGGGAGCTCAAAATTTACTTAGAATATATCTATGAGTTCTATACTGTATGAGCTACCGATACACATCAAGCATTCAAAACAATTAGCTCGACTATCCACGGTATATTGTTGAGAGAATTGAATTTCTTTTATAACGAACTAGCGAGACCTGGGTTGGTCATAAGGGCCCAAGGAGCAATGGTACTCACTTCGGCATTTATTTGCTCTACTTACTTTGAATCAATGATGCAATTATGAAGTAAGCATAACTTGTAGTAAACAGAAGGTCTAGAAATTTAGAGCATTGTTTGTTGTTAGTGGGCGATAGCATTCGCCAAAATATGATAATTGATATGCTCTAATTCGTAAACGCTTTACGAATCATTTAATGCTATGATAACAGGCAAATTCTTAACCTTCCCGACCAAAAGTAATAAGCTACAAGGAAAATTGAAGTGGGACCTAAAAAAACATCAAATACTATGATATTCATGTCACCAGACCAACAAGATCATTCAACGTTGGGTGACCTACTACTTAAGTTGGCGCTGAAGCAGAAAACCCTGAGAAATTTTGTGCCTCGAAATTTCTGACTATCTCATAGTTTTTCTACGACTAAAATCATGCTAATTTCTGTTATCACAATCAAAGTTCAAGCAAAAAAGGCCAATCCCTCCTGAGAATGGTCTGCGAATTTCTTGTAGCCTACATGTGCTGTAAAATTACTCAAGTAACTTCTGTTTACTTGTAAATAGAATAGTTTTTTAAAAAATTTTCAAAAATTCAAATTAGCTTTGTGAAAAAATTTTTTGAAGACATGTCTTCCTTCAAGATTTTAGGCTATAGCTTGGCAAAATTCTGGATTCCAAAATCTTCTCTGGAGGGCTACACTAACTTCACAGTCGGTCATTCGAAAAAATCTCTTTCTCCCCCCCCCTCAATCCCTCCGCCCCGCCGCAATAATTCCATCGGACCAACCCTGAATTCAAACTACTACTCCATAGAACAGCAAGAGCTCCAAAAGATGGCTTCTAAACATTCGAAAAGTTTCCGCGAAGCTTATGACCAAGATTCAAAAAATTTTTGGCTACATACTTCGCGGGCACTTTTCGAATATTTGGGACCCCAAACAGGGCCCGGCACAGATCGTCTGGAAGCAGACTGGACTTCGTTTTTGAAGCAAACAGCAAGGGGGATATCGTTTTTGACGAGTCGGAACCGAGCACCAAGAATAAGCGCCATTTAGTCAAACACAAGCTTTTCGGACAGGTCACACGATTGACATGCTCTATCGTGCATGGCGAAAAGTGCGCGCGATTTGAAAGCAAGGCTTAAATAAACAAATCGCTTGTTTACAGCGCACACAAAAGCGTATGATACCGAAATTGAACTGTATGTATAGAATTATTTGCGAAAGTATTATGTAAAAAGAATTGAAAACTTATGTGAAGTAATACCTTTTCCAAAATTAGATCGTCTCCAGACGGCCACCAGACGATCTGAGATCGTCTGGAGCATATATTTTCGTCATTTCACATAAGTTTCGGATCTTTTCAGCATGGACGGATTCCCCGGTCAAAAATCTATCCCTGAGCATGAAAACATTTTCATATCATTGTTTTTCCTTTGTTTTTTGCCTTATTTCTTCTCGCTTCGTTAAATATCGCGCTCTAATGCCAAAGTCTTGTGTAGGCGTAGTAATCAGCTCCAGGATTTTCAATCTTATCTTAAGTCTTTTCTTTCAGAAGTAAATCTCTCTTGTTTTCATCTTCTCCTAAGCAAGTAGGTCAAAGGGGACTTCGTAAAACTTCCGAAAGTCAGGGGAGACTTCGTTTTCAGAAACCCTAGAAACCGACTCGTGCCGGGCCCTGACCCCAAAAGCGGTTTAACTAGCAGATACCATGAAGATCTTCGTTCATACATTTAGATAACTGCATATACAGCTGCTGTACTTGTTTAATGTTTATGATTAAAGACAAGGAACATGAACATGCTCCAACCAAGGTATTCGCAAGCGTGTACTCTGAGTAACACACTAAAATATAATACTGTTATCACTACAGAATTTAGAGTATTTCAATGTAGATAGTTTTTGAGAATTCATGGCCCTCAGGACTTTTTTCGGGCAGTGATCAGTTAGCGCAAATGAATTTGCATTTGCTTGGTCAAATAGTAAGTACTTCTCAAGCAGGAAGTCAAAACGATTAGGAGGACTTTGCTTCAGAAAAACACGGACAAATTTTTCTGTCTTTAGTTACTCTTTCCATATATCTTAACCTTGGCCGTTATGCACCGGTCGAGCCATTGGCCCGTAGTAAACCCCCCATCAAGGCATCTCTCTCGACGCGGACCGGAGTTGAGGTCATCGCGCCTCAGTCTAGCATCCGGCGAGCCATTGATCTGGATGCGGATCGCTTCCGAGGCATCACAATCAAGTGCGTTCTTGAAAAAGGAACCACTTGAGCTGGTTTGGTCAAACGGGTAAGCAGTTGGAATTACATGCGCGCGGCCATGGTTCGAATCCGACTAGCGGCACACATTTTGATGCATCGCTGGGCAATCTTTGATAGCGGCCACTACGCAATCGATGATGACCGCTATCAAGGATTTCGCCTAGCAAATGCACGGATAAAACAAAAACACAATTAATGACGATGATTTTATGAAAAAACGAAAGGGTTGCAGCGTGAATTTAATGAAATAATTAAATGAGTTCCTGTTTTGGTCAGCTAGTGAAAAAAATCAGTAAGGTTTACAAAAAAGAGAAGAATTTGCTTTTTTTGTTATCCTCGCCAAAATCAAATCAGCTGTTCATCGATCCTCTCCTTTTCGGGCGCGGTTGTGCAGTTTTGCGCCGATTTTTTCTGCATTTTTTGGCAAATCTGTGTGCATCGTAAGTTACTCAGGAGCAACTTATGTTAAATGCAGTCAACTCTTGTCTGCGTCTCCTCTTTTACACGCTATTTGCATTCCTCTAACATCCGTTCACGTTCAGTTCAACTCAACGTGAACGGATGTGGAACAGTTGACTGCAGCAGGTGGACAGATGGCCAACTATCAGTTGACTTGACCATCTCATAGCATGGGAAGGTGGACGGTCATCAGTTCACCTCACCTAAGCTTAACTGATGGGATAAGTTGAGTTCACCTCAACTGATCAAGCTTTACTACGGGCCATTGTCATTGGAATAGATTGTTAAGAAATTTTGTTTGCATCCCAAAGAAAGTTTTTCAGCTTGCAAATTGTTTCCAAGGGGAGATTGGCTTAACATAGATAACCAGAGTTTTTCTGAACAGCAGCAGTTTCTGGGTTAGTCAAATTTAAGTCTTCAAATCGCTACAGTACACTTCCGCAGACGGTTTCTTCTGCTCGTCTCCTAAATCTTTCTTGAAACAAGTTTTTTTAGTGGAGTAGATGTAGACAGCACTGCGTTTTTTGAGCCTCGAAAAAATTCTTCTGTGACTAATCCAAATGCGGTGACATAATGGAAGTATTATCTCTAAGAGTCTCATAAATGAAGCGCATTTTACGACCTCCTGGGTGGCGCTTATTCTACGCTATCACTTCGTCGCCTCGTTGCAATGTCTATCTACGTGGTGACGCTTCTTCTAGGACTATCAGGTGAATTTTTACATCCGCAAACTCAAAAAATTTTGGGTTATAGTGTTCGAAAAATTTCGAAGCAGAACTCTGCCAAAAATCTCACAATAGGTTGCATCTGGGCACAGTCAACAGCCCTACCTCCATCGTGCAACGATTTTATACCCTGCCAAGCAGCACTGAACAACGAGCTTAATCTCACTAATCCCCAGCCATGGTTCTATCCGGAAGAGTTTAGGAACAAGGTAAGCTTCATGTAATGCAATTAATATATGCAAATAATCGTTGTTGCAAGGTAGAAGTGTTCTACCAGCAGAAAGGAGCAATAGGACTGCGAACTGTTTGCAAGTAAGTCTTTACTTCAGATTACAAAGATATTTTTTTCTACTAAATCTCGATAATCTTATATATAAAGCTGAATGTCTGTTTGTATGTCTGTCTGTCTGTATGTATGTATGTATGTGTGTACGTATGTTCCGAATAGAAAATATCCCATTTCTGAACCGATCCGGACCAAACTTGGCATACATACACTGGGTGGGTGTCATAGGCTACTTTTCGTCACCGATCGATATCGATTTTATCGATTTTTTTGCAAAATTTGAGCTACGGGGCTGGGAGTTGGCACAGGGGGGTAATCGAGCATGCTGATTACGAATATAATAATGACAGGGCCGGGCGGAGCCCGGTAAGTCAACTAGTTTCATATAAAAAACACTTCAGCGGAGTCCTAGTTTTCAAACTGGAAATTGTCAAAATTTTTTTGCAATAAAAAAATGCGCTGCCTGCACATTCTATGCTGACTTCGCACATGAAGATAAGCACAACCGTAAAACCTTGTACATTTAAGGACATGTGAATAGGATCTTTGATCTTTGCTTTACGAGTAGTTTCTCTAACTGGGAATTTACTTTAGTACCATAGATGATCAAGTTTTATCTTTTAAGCACATGAGGTATCAAGCATTCGAACAAAGAAAAGATAGAGACTGGTGGATCGCCTTTGAGAGTGGTCTAAGTGACCGTTAAACTTGTGCTTGCTGATTTTTGTCAATAATCACAAGATTTCCAATTCAGTAGTAGTCGGACAAGCTAAAAACGAAGAAAAAGAGCAACACCTTGAACCATCTTTTGAAAGCTGTCATAGCGAAATGAAAATTTAGAGTTCTTCAGCTCTATGGGCTTTCTGTTTGAAAGTAGGGAGAATAGTAGCCGCAATCCATATTTCTACATTCGACACTTTGAGTCTAATTTACAGATAGTAGTGGAATCAGGTGAAAAGAAACTTCTCAGTCTGAATAATAAAACCATAACCAGCATATATTCTGAATAATCTCATTTATTTGAGAGCGTTCCGAAACTTCAAAACATGCATGGGAAGCGAGTACAGCCAGTGCATCAACCCGTCGTATTTCGTTACTGGTTCGGTGCCTATCTTACAATCATACCAGTATGTAAGCACATTCAACACAATGCACTATGTTTGCGGTGGAGGAATGCAGAGTGAGTTTTACTTGATCAAGAGTAGCTCAAAAAAAGTCAGTGATGCTGTTAAGTTTATCTGGACAACGACGCATGCATGTCGTCGACGTGGAGCGGCGCGTCGGGAGAGCAACTGAACGCTTGTCGCACTAGTTATGAAATGAAAAGTAATACGATGCCCGACAATGCGTGCTAGTAAGTCAACATACTGACTTATTGATCTAGTAAGTATTAATATGCATATTTAGCCTCGCTAATACCTTCACGTCTTGTTTCGAGCAGCAATTCCAAATCGGATGCGGCCAGAATGCGAAAGACGCTCAATTTTGGGGTTGCGAATATGCCAGAGTGGAAGTTTTCACTAGATTTCCCCAGTGTGATGTCAGCTGTGTCTGTAAGTACACACAAAACTCACCTCGTCACAGTTCAGTTGTAAATCATCTCCTATTACAGTGCCTTACGCTGGAGGTATAATCGGTTGACGACTGTGAAGGCAGAGCATCGATATATCATTTTTGCACATAGTATTATTATGATAGCATAAAGTATCCGCCTGTTTATGTTTTCTGCGAACCTTTTAAAAAATCTGTATGAGTTATCTCGTTGAAAGAAAGACTATAAAGCAAGGGTCCAAGACGATTTGTAACATTAAAAATTCTCACCAGTAGGAGAACTGCTTTTTGGTCTGTGCTGAGTGAGTCTCGTCGAAAAGTGAAGCTTTGCCTTCCTTGGACATTCAAAACACGACAGAAACGGCTAGGCGGAGTAGACATATTTCTTTGCATTTTTTTGCAGTTCATTCTCAGTGGGAGTGATTTTTATCATTACACCATCGTGAGGACTTTGACTACTTCGAGCCCTGAAATGGTACCGTATATTTAAATGCAAAGAGTTAGTATGGTTTGCTATATATGGATCTGTAGAAATGATATTCAGATCTTTAAGAATCGCACCCAACACGCGCACTGTAAGAAAATTTCCAAGTATATGGAACTGATTTCCAAACTACCACATTCCTGAACGGTAGTGGATGTCAGATTGATGAAGTAGCAAAACAATGCTCTTTCCAGATATACATCTTTTTTTAAAAACGCACAAATTTTCGAATATTTGGGTTCAGAATTAAAGCTAAATTACTCAGTTGTGCCTATTTGCTATGTCGGCGGGCAGGTTAGGAAGCTTTCAGAACGAATTCTTGAAGCTGTGCGGAATAAAAATAGGTGTTGCGGTAACAGATATCTCATTGGCAATAAGCACCGCAGAAAATGTGTTAAATTTCTGAGTTGTCCTATATATCTACCTACCTTCCCATTCTTCCGATCAGACACCATTTGTTCAGCCAGCTCTCCACAGAAGTTGATAGGGCCTTTGTGAGCAGTCGAAAATGTCATTACTACCTTTACTACCTCAGGTTTCATTTCACGTGAAAATATAAAAGTTCGGCGCAAGGTTGACAAAGAACCGGCACCTGGCTTGAATTTGACATCAACTCTATTAGAGGTGGGATCGCCTGAAGTTGAGGCCGCAAAAATAAAAAGAATTCCAGAATGACAATACCACACTAGCTAGACTCATTAAAGTACATAACCAAGCCTTCTCTCTAACATTGTCAAGTTCGGAAAGTTAAAAGTTAATTCGAAAAGGGATTTTTGGAGTCAAAACAGTATTATGTATTCCTGTTCACTGGGTGCTCCTGGGAATAAGAAAATGTCTTCTGGATCGGTTACAAACCATTTTCGCGGATCGACACTCATGTCCTATGGATAGAGTATCTTTTCATATGGGAAATTCCGCATGCCTGTGATCTCTGAGTTGATTTTGAATATAAGATCATGGCTCGTGCGCAGGTATTCTTCGCAAGTACATCTTCATATTTTGTTGATAAACAAATTCTTGTCATGATGAAGCTAGGCGTGTGCGATAGTCGAACTGTACCCTACAACTTTATCGATCAAGGGTTTGAGCTCATTTAGCTGCGGAGCAAAATGTGAAGTTAGGGAAATTTCTTTTTGCTTTATCAAAAACCGCTGATCTTATTCTTTAATTTCTGCATCCTAAGATAAAGACTTTTTGTTTCCTGAAGAATACCTTCAGTAAAGTCTGACTAGAGCTTTATATGACATAAATTTGGGTTCAGTTACTCAGTGGTTTTCTCGTTGGAGTCGCACAAAAATTGGGGCCACTTATTTTGGTCCACACTGCATATGCTGGACAACTTTGGTTCTTGCAGTACACAATTGAGACGTTGATATTGCCCTTTTGGAATTTGTAAATGCAAACATGACTTTTTTCAACAACAATGAAGAAACTTTTTATATTAGGTTGGCCCGAAAATTTTGTCGCATCATTTTCAAAAATTCATAACTTCTGATTTTATTGACCGATTTGAATGCGGTTATTTTTTATGAAAGTGTAAATCATGCTCTTTATAATGACATTTTAGCTGCTTACTAATAATCATCTATTGCATAGATAGGAGCGATAGAAAAAAATTGGTCAAAATTCGAATTTTTCGTGTAGGGTAACAAAAAAACCGGAACTTGCAACAAAAATCGGAGCAGTCAGTATTATAGTTTCTGTTATCTGATCTTTCTAACAGTGCAAAGCTTGTGCCGATTGAGCGTCTCTATGAAAAGTAACAATTTACCTGAAAAATGCCAAAATAAATCAAGTTCGCCCTTTTCTATTGCTCGCTCGAAAATCATAACTTTTTATAGGGACGCTTTAGCCAGCGCAAACCTTGCAAAGTTGGAAAGAGCAGGTAACAGAACCTATAATACTGACTGCTCCGATTTTTGTTGCAAGTTCCCGATTTTTTATGACCCTACACGAAAAACTCGAATTTTGACCTATTTTCTTCTATCGCTCCTATCTATGCAATAGATGATAAATAGCAAGCAGATAAGATGTCATTATAAAGAGCATGACTTACTCTTTCATGCAAAAATAAAAGCAGCCAAATCGGCTAGAAAATTCAGAAGTTATGAGTCTTTAAATTTGGTGCGCAAGAACTTGCGGGCCAACCCAAAAACGAATGAGATGACATGTCTTGCTGATGAAAACATTCAACACCACCTAACCTAACCTCAAACAGGGTTCCGGCTATATATGGCTTTTTTCTCCATTCTTCTGCCCTTGCATAGAGAATAATGCACGGGAGTGTAAAATGAAAATTCTTGATATCTCATACAGTGCTGGACATAATTATAAACATACTCTAAAAATCGTCGTAATTTGCGTTCTTCTTAATGAATTTATCCAAAAAATTTTGCAGTTTAGTGCGCCGTTTTGCCCACCATGACCTCTCAAAACGGCTTCAAATCTTGTTCAGTTTGAATGGAGAAGAATAGATAAATTCGAAAAAGCCCCTGCCGAAAATTGGACAAAGTTAGAAAGACACTTGATTTTTTCAAACACTATCGCATGCCCTGACATTGAAATTCTTTTGCACAGTTATACACTAAAATATGAAACATTTGCAACATATGCAACCTGTCATCCTTTTCAAAGAGAAATCATTACTGCATTTTTTGCTTTCAAAAGCAACAAAAGTGATTGTGCAATAACAAACAGCTGGTTTGTAGAGCTTTCAAGCTCTTGTTCATTTCAAATGATAGTATGGATTCTACTGAGCCTTTTTGATAAAAGAAGTGAAGTTCTGTAAACTCTGCGTAATCGCTGGTATGGACGGACACTCCAACCTCAACATAGGCTTGTCACGCTTTCAAACCACAAAGCTCAGTTTGCAATGTTCGTGAGGTGCTGGACCTAATTTTTTACATTGCCTACATGGTGATGAAATTTTCGCAACGACTTTTAGATCTCCTGGTGATGCAGTCGCGATTTCAACCTGAAATACTTACCACGAAAATTCTCTGCGAGCCGTAGGGTCGACACATTCCGAATATTTTCCTCTCTATCATGTCAGATTTTACCCAAAGAATGAGATTAGCTGAGATTATGAATTTTTGAGCGGCTTCCTGTCCTATTTCGTGATCTGGATTGGCTATCTTTGTGCAGGATGCTCCACTCAACATTCAGTGGGACAACCGCGGCTTAACCATAACGCTAATTTCGAAATTATTTCCTAATTATGCATGCATATTACCGTTGTACAGCCGACATAGTGGCTATATTACTGTATCTTCTGCTGCTTGAAAATTGAGTTTTGTGGTTTAAAAGAGCTACAAGCCTACGATGAAGCTGAAGCTTGTCGTCAGCGATTACGCAGAGTTTACAAAAGCGTTCTTCACCTCGTTTATCGAGAAGACTCAGTGGGCTCCATGACTATCATTTGAAATGAACAAGAGCTTGAAAACCCCACAAACCAGCTGTTTGTTGAAGCACCTTCACTTTTGATGCTTTTGAAAGCAAAAAATGCAGTGATCATTTCTCTTTGAAAAGGATGACATTTTGCAGATGTTGCAAATGTTTCATATTTTAGTACATAAAAAATTTTAATCTCAGTGTTTGAAAAAATCAAGTGTCTTCATAGTTCTGTCCAGCTTTCGGCAGGGGTCTTCTCGAATTTTTCTGTTTTTTTCCGTTCGAAATGAACAAGATGGAAGCCGTATTGAGAGTTCATGGTAAGCAAACCTTCGCACTATACAACAAAATTTTGGACAGATTCATCAACAAGAACGCAAATTACGACGATTTTTAGAGTATCTTTATAATTATTCCAGCACTGCAGGAAGCTCCCCGAAATCCCCCCTCCCCCCCCCCCCTTCCACCCCGTATGATGTTCTTTCTTCAGTAATGCGGACAATACTGCTCGAAAACTGTTTGAAATCAGAAAGTTCGACTTTCTATAAATCTCGGCATGATGGATACTGTATTTATTCGGTTGTTTAGCCACGAAGTTTATGTTTTCGTCCATTTCAGGCTCTGAAGAAGGCGAATTATTGCCGAAACGTTAGCCTAAGTAAAACTACCAATCTCAATCGTGTCTAAACAATCGAATAAATATACAGGGTGTCCCAAAAAATGTAAACACTGTTTGATTGTTAATAACTCCCTTGCTTTCATGTCTTTCGTCGAGCTTGAGGCACCATTCTGTAAAGCGAGGGGTTCAACTTAGATTTACAGTATGGAGCGAATCGTCGATCTCTCTTCATTACTGTAGGATTACGGTAGGAACTTCGATAAGGATTATGCCATTGGAGGGCATATTCTCCTCGGAACAAAACCAAACAAGCCAAAAACTCTCATATTATGGTAAGGGAAGCTGCTGATTTCGAATATGGAATTTCCACTTTACTGTGATGCTTCTTTCCAAGGTTATCCCAGGTAAATCGTAATAACTGAATTTCCAGCATTTGTCAGAAAGATGATTATACCGTCAAAAAAGCTAAAAACACTTATAAAAAGTTGTCTAACGGAATCAGCGTGCGCGAAAACCTTAGTACACAATTTTTCAGATTTTTCGAAAATTTTTTTGTCAAATGGCATATTTCACAATAGATCCACATGCTAGAAGTTC